CTTCATTTTTTCATGTTGGCTAAGGGGTTGTTGATCTTGTTAATCTTTTCAAAGAACCAACTTTTTGTTTCATTGATTCTTTGTAAAGTTTGGTTTTGATTTCATTGATCTTGGCCCTGATCTTTATTATTTCTCTCCATCTCCTGGTTTTGGGTTTGGTTTGTTTTGTTTTTCTAGGAGCTTAAGGTACATCATTAGTTGTTTATATGAGAGGTCTCAGTTTTTTTAATGTAGGCACTTATAGCTATGAACTTCCCCCTTAGCACGCCCTTCACGGTGCCCCTCAGATTCTGGTATGTTGTATTTCATTTTCATTGGATTCCAGGAATTTTTTGAATTCTTGCCTTATGACTTTGGTCACCCATTGGTTTTTCTGCAGTATGTTGCTCAGTCTCCATGTTTTTGAGTATTTTCTGGGCTTGCTTTTGTTGTTGAGGTCTAGTTTTATTCCATTATGATCTGATATGATGCAGGGGGTTGTTTTGATTTTCTTGAATTTGTTGAGACTTGCTTTGTGTCCTAAAATATATTCTATTTTGGAGAAAGTTCCATGAGCTGCTGGAAAAAGAATGTGTATTGCCTGGTTGTTGGGTGAAATACTCTGTAGATATCAGCCATGTCTATTTGGTCTAATGTGTGGAGTAGCTCTGACGTTTCTTGATGGATCTTCTGTCTAGATGATCTATCTATTGGTGACAGTGGGTACCAGGTCTCCCACTATCAGTGCATTAGCATATGTCTGTGCTCTTAGGGCCACTAGAGTTGTGATTTGTGTTTTTTTAAATATAGATGTGTGCCCCTGTGTTTGGTGCATATATGTTAAGGACTGATAGTTCCTCTTGATAAATTGTTCCTTTCATTAATATGAAGTGACCTTCATTGTTTCTTCTGATTGATTTTAGTTTGAGGTCTACTTTGTGAGATCTGAGTACAGCTACTCCTGCTTGTTTGTGGGGTCCATGTGCTTGGAAAACTTTTTTCTACCCTCTGACTCTAAGCCAGTGTTTATTTTTTTCAGTTAGATGAGTCTTTTGTAAGCAACATATGGTTGGGTCTTGTTTTTTTATCCATTTTGCTATTCTGTCTCTTGATTGGGTCATTGAGGCCATTTACATTCAGTATTAATATTGAGAGGTGTCTGTTGTTTCTAGTCATTCTTGTTTCCCTGTTGTTTAGTTTTACCTATTCCTTGTTTACTGGTCTGCTTGCTCAAAAGGGTTTATTCTTTCTTGACTCTTCCTTTCTCACTCTAGTTTCTTCTGTATGCAAAAGTCCTTTAAGTATCTTCTATATTGCTGGCTTGGTGGTTGCAAATTCCTTTAGTTTTCCTTGTTGTGGAAGGTTTTAGTTTCTCCTTCAATTAGGAAGGATAGTTTTGCTGGGTAGTATAGTCTAGGTTGACAGTTGCTTTCTTTCAGGGCCTGAATTATGTCTTTCCTTAACCTTCTTTTGTTTAAAGTTTGAACTGAGAAATCTGCTGTTATTCTAATGGGTTTGCCTTACATGCAACTTGTCTTTTCTCTTTTACAGCTTTCAGAATTCTTTCTTTGTTCTGTGTACTGAGTGTTTTGATTTATGATGTGTCTGGGGTGTTTCTCTTTTGGTCTTGATGGTTTGATGTTCTGTAAGCTTCCTGCACTTGGATGACTCTCTCTTTGTTGAGGTTAAGGAAGTTTTCAGCTATTATTCTGTTAAATAGGTTGTCAGTGTATTTAGTTTGTATCTCCTCTCCTTCTACACCCATGATTTGTAGGTTTGATCTTTTCATGATGTCCCAGATGTCTTGCATGTTCCATTTGTATTTTCTTAGTATTTTTTTCATGATCTTTTACTGTTTGGTCTAATTCCTCTACTTTTTCTTCTGTTCCTGGTACTCTATTTTCAACTTGCTCCACTCTGTTTGCCAAGCTTTAGATTGTGATATTTATTTGGCATATTAAGTTGTTTATTTCAGATTGATTATTTTTCACAGTTTGTATATCTTTGTTGATTTCCTCTTTCATATCATAGGTAAGTCTTCTTAATTTCATTCACCTGTTTGTATTTTCTTTGAGCTCATTTAACTGTTTATTCACATTGTCTTTGAGGTCAGATACTAACTTTTGTTTCTTCTTTTAGGTCATTAATCATTTTTAGTATTTTTTTTAATTCATTACTTGATAGCTCTTCCTCTATACAGGTGTTTGGATCTTTAGTGGTGGAATTGGCTTTTGATAGAGAACGGTTGTCTTGCTCTTTCATTCTGTGTTCAGATTTATGCATGTGGAGTTGTTTTGGGTGAGGGTTTTAATCCCTTATGCCCCTGTAGTTGGGGTTTTGTGGGGTTTTTTCTCTCCTGGTGCTTCAGCAGTGTTCCTCAGAGAGGGTTATGCTGGATATGTTACCCCTTGCGGGGCTCTTGTTGTGGTGCCAATTTCTTCTTTTCTCCCCTCAGTGAGGGGGCTGGTGTTCCTGCTCTTTGATGGGGGCTCAGGGGCTCTCCTGCAGTCGTGGTAGGGAGTGTTGGTTCTCTGTGCACTGTGGATGGCAGGCCTCCTAGCACCAGCAGGGTAGTGGATTGCCACTTGGTGGAGGAGCTGGGATTCCAGCTCTTGGACAGGAGAAACTCTCCCGGGAAGAGGGCCTTACCGCTGAGTAATGGAGCCTGGAGCCACATGGCAACTTTAGGGGCAGGAGATCAAGAGTGTTGACTTGAGAGTCATTCTGTCCATTCTTCCCGTGGTTAGTTGTCTCTCTATTTGCAGATTCAGAGAGGGCTTTGCTTCTCGCTGGTTATGGGACCCTGTGGGTGCTTTTGGGGTCCTCTGATCTAACTTTCTCAGGGTAGTTTGTCACTGCTGGACTATAGGAATGTCAGCAGTCTGCCATCTTTCCTGCCAGCTAGGATCTTAAATTTAAGATACTAAAGGTCTTCACATAGCACCAGTAGAGCTCTACCTCTTTCTTTTTGTTTATTTCATTAGGATTATATAGACACATTTCAGTGAGATATTGAAATTCTGAGCTCTTAGGCATCTAGAGACATAACTAAAAGTAAATGACATGAACCTTGGCAGAATTGTAAGGAGAAAGGGTTGATCCACAGTCACAATGGTGACTTAACAAAGCTTCCCAGAAATGAACATATATCAACAGGCCAAAAGAAAGGAATAATGCCATAGGGGATTTGAACCATGCCATTAAGGAGTTTGAGACACTCAGCCCTCAGCAATTAGGAAGTGCACATTCTTCACAGGCTCACAAGGGACCTTCGGAGCACCTGGTGTATACATGGGCTGTAAAGGAAATCTCTCAAGCAGTAATCTCCTTGCAGATGTCATTGCTGAAATGGTTTTGTGTTTTTCCTCTATTTCTTTCCTGGGTTCTACTAGCTCCTTTTTCACATCTGCTGTTTTATGACTGCCGGGATTCTGAATTCTTTTATTTTTGAATTACAGTCTTTCCTAACTGTAATTGCTTCATAAGGATTTCTTTGCTTTCTTTCATTTTTATTTGTAATTGACACATAATGAGTGTACATATTTACAAAGTACACTGTGGTAATTTGATTCATGTACACAGTGTATAATGACCAAATCAGGGTACTGAGCATATCCATCACTTCCAACATTGTACCGCATCTTTGTGACGGGAACATTAAAAACCCTCCTTTCTTGTTGTCTTGAAATGTACACTAAATTATTATCAACTGTAGTCACCTCAGCTTTCCTTTTAATTCATGGAATGTTGGATTTAATTTCATCTGCCTTTGTAGCATGGCTCAGGTGGGTTTCCCCATTCCAGGAAGATTGGCTGGCTCCTTTTCCCCATTTGTGAGTCTGTCTTTGCCTGACTCCTAGCATATTCCACAGGACTAATGTGTCCTGCTTCGCTTTTCTCAGTAATGCCTAATGATGTTGGAGACACGTGTGCACATCTGTAATTTGCGTCACCCATTGTCTGACTCCCCAATTTAAGAGGGAGGGCTTTGTGTGTACTTGACTCCCAGGCTTATCCCCATTCACTAAATCATTACCTTATACATAGCTGTCACTCACTACATATTTGTTGAATAAATTCACAGAAAGCTGCAGAAAACAGATGTGAGATTGAATTGGTCATTTGGAAATCCATTTATTAAGGCTTTAATACATTATTACAGGAAGCGCAGAAGCCAGCAGTGTATAGGAGGAGTCTGGTTACTCATACATTTTCCAGCTCTCTGTCAAAATAATCATTTCCATTCTGAATCCTGTGTGCTAGAGCAGGAGGGGGATGCATGCTTAGTGCTTATTTGCAAGGCTTTGCACCTTGGGGCACTGTTAGTGGAACACAAAGTGACTCTTCCTATATCGGCACTTGGCAGGATGCTCACGCTAGCTGATCTAGCCATTCTGTTTCTAAGGATTTCTCCCATAAAGGAGCCAGTGCAGTCTGCAGGGCCATGGGGATGGTGAGATAAACTTCAATAGCCATCAATCAGTGTGAGTCTTACCATCAGTGCCAGCTCCACACAACCTAGGGGTGTCCAGGATGTGCCACTGAGATGGAAGAAGTGCTGCAACCCACCTGTATTTTGTGTTCATCCAAGTGAAAGATGAAATTGAGCTTCACTGGTCTTTACTCTCAGCATCAATTCCACACCAGCACTCACCAATGGCCTGGTAGACATTGAACTTCCTTCGTGTCCTGGGGAGGTCATTGGACTCCAAGGGATAGATAGAGCCAGGTGTAGTGGCACACACCTATAATCTCTGCCACTCAGGAAGTGGAGGGAGGAGGATCATGACCAGCTGGGGCAAAGTTAGAGACCCTGTCTGGAAGACAGAATACAAACAAAAGGACTGGGGGTATGGCCCCCAATCCATGCTTGCCTAGCATGCTCAAGGCTCTGGGTTCAATCCCCAGTATATCACGTCCCTGTGCCCAGTTGGTTTTCTAGATCATTCTCTATCTTAATTTCATGTCAGTAAACACATAAGCAGCCCCTAGCCACCTCAGATGTGACCTTTGCTCTTCAGGGTCACCCTGGCGGAAGGAGCAGACACAGGACCTGCAGCACGTGCTAGAGAAGGTGGACCGGGAGATCCCCTTGGTGCTGGTCAGTGGCAACCATGACCTGGGCAACATCCCCACAGCTGAGACCGTGGAGGAGTACTGCCGGACATGGGGAGATGACTACTTCAGCTTCTGGGTCGGAGGCGTCCTGTTCCTGGTGCTCAACTCCCAGCTTCTGTTTGATGCCTCGGCGTGCCCAGCACTGAAGCAGGCACAGGACCGCTGGCTGGACCAGCAGCTGAGCATTGCAGGGCAGCGCAGGTGCCAGCACGCCATTGTCTTCCAGCACATCCCACTGTTCCTACGGAGCATCGATGAGGACGACGACTACTTCAACCTCACCAAGGCCGTGCGGAAGGAGATGGCAGACAAGCTCAGCAAAGCAGGTAGCCTGAGATCACAGTGTGGGTGCAGAGAGGGTTCTTGCTCCTCCTGCAGCTCCTCCTGCAGCCCCTCTGCAGCCTGACAAAGCGGGGAGAGGATGGGGCTTTGGGTGGACCTGGGTATTGATCCAGCTCTGCCAATACTGGCTTTGTGGCTGTCGACAGGCTACCTAATCCTTCCTGCCTCAGTTTCTCTACCTGTAAACAGGTGTAGGGGTAGTAGCTATCATAGGATGGTTGAAAGGAGTGATAGAGAAAAGACCTGTGAGGGATTATGATACCCCCAGCCTGCCAAGTGTAAACTGCTCACAGTTAAAGGTGGAGGTCCTGCAGCTGGGGTTGTGATGGTGTGGGTCTGAACATGGCTGTAAGTGCCACAGGTGATGGGAAGGGCAAGAATGGCTTTGCTTATTTCTTGGAAAGCAGGAACTGGTTCAAGGACAGATGATCCTTAAGAGGTAGGCTTCCCACCAAGAGTCCTCACATGTAACCAACAAATCCTGGAATGTGGCTTCAGTGGGCAGGGCCTGCAGGTCTCCTGGCTTTGCTTTTAGTGGGTTGGATTACTGTTCTCTTCTGGGTCAGGAGACACAAAGGTGTGTAGTCCAGTCTCGCTGCTTAGACTTGCAGCTGATCATACATGGGACCCACTCCAAGTGAAGACACCCCATTTTTTAAGGTAAGCCTCAGCTTGTGGTGGCCTCCTAGTACCAGCCCAGGCCTCTGTCCTCCCGGGAGCCTCCCCCGAGAATGTATGACAGGCTGCTTCCTTGAGTTACCAGAGGCTTGGAAGTATTCTAGCTTCAACTTCTGTTCAATGTGTTGTCTTGGTCCTAATTCCTCCTTTCATGTCTTTCCAGAACTCACTTGTATCAAACATTTCTAAAATGTAAATACTTTGATTTATTTGTCGTGGGGAGCGGGTAGAGGTGGCCTAACCTAGGGGTGAAACTCCTTGAAAAATCAAATCTTGCTGCTGTTTTCATCTCTATTAAATGTGTTTGCACTGACTTGTGAAAGGTACAATGGCCCTTCTGTACTTTTGAGACATTTTGCAAAAAGCTTGGAGACATTTCCCAACTGTCCCATGGAAACAAAGTTGGAACACATCTGTTAAAGGGCTTTGAAATTTTCTGCCATGCTTGCATTGGTATAGAAAATTGTACTGATGCCAAGGAAGCAAAGTGTCAGGATGGCATGAGCTCCACCATGGAGACTGTTTTGTAACCCAGAACTGAGCCAGGAAGACAGTTAACACCACTGAAAGTGTTCCTTTCACAGCACGTGATAAATGATGCAAATGGCATCCATCCTGACTGCTCATTGTTCTCCCTTCTCGTGGACCAGTTCTCCATCCTAAGGTGACAGAGTAAATGCACTAATCAGGCTTCCTGAGGGAAGCCTGCTTACCACTCAGTAAGTGCCCCAGAGTGGACTCTGTAAGATTAGGGACCAGGACTGTGGTCACAGCCAGAGCTGTGTGTGTCTGCAAGGTGGACTTCAGTTATCCCAGCTCACCAAGGCAGGTATCTGTAGCCATAATGCTGATTGGCTCATTTGAGCAGGACATTTGAGCCCCAGCCATTTGGCAGCCGCTACCTATAGCAGAGCTACAGGATAAACCAGACAGAACAGGACTTAGTCTCCATTTTCCACTTTTAATGGCACCAGGCCCTGCTGTTCTAATGTCTCTGTGTTGGGTAGGAGCTTCCTTGCCTGGGGAACTCTAACCCTTTAGCTCTAACTCCTCTTCAAATGACACTGCCTCACCTGGGTCCTAGTGGCAGCTTGAAGTTGGGCTTGCTGTTCCTCTCCTGCCCATTCTTCACCCAGCAGCCAGAGGAACCTGCAAGTCCATAGCCAAACCCTCCTGGGCACTTCCTTCCCCTAGGACAAGGCCTACCTCATCGCCTTATGTTTCATGGAAGTCTCCACCTTCTCCTCCAGCCTCCTCTATGTCACCTGGTCAAACCCATGCAGCTTTGACTCCTTCAATATGAAGCTCTCATCCCACCCTACCCCACCCCACCCCACACACTCTCTAAGTTCTCTTAGCTTCACTTGATCCCAGCACTTGTCAAATAAATTTACAAGTGTTGATATGTCCAAATCTCCCATTAGACTCAGTTCCAGAGCGCCAGGGCAGTGCTCTGCCCATCTGCACTCGGGAGGCCTGACTCAGGAAGGAAGGGAGGAAGGAAAACCTGGGGCTTATACCTGTTGCCCTCAGAGGCCAGCTGACATGACCTATGCCAGGTACAACTAGATCTAGCCTGGGCTCCCACAGAGCTCCCAGCACAGCCTCTTGGGATCGTCCATCCCATTTGCACAGACTTCACATCACAGGGAAGGCCACAATTCAGTCCCAGGGAAAGCCTCCAGTTTGTCTCTGCCCTTATCCACTTGCTAGCCTTCCAGGATCACTCAGCAATCTGTTTCTTTCTCCCCAAGTGTCCCCTTCCCACCTCTTCCCCAGGTTCCACCATCAGGCATGAGAAGGTGCTTCTCTTTGGTTACTAGCCTTAGGATCTTCACCTAAACCTGCTTCACCAGAAGGAACCAAAGAGATGGGCACCCTTCCTGCCAGTCCGTTTCATTGACTGCCAAACCAAGCCCTTGGCCTCATGACCTTCAGACACAGAACAAAGCTAGTGTGACTCCAGGAAGATCCCATTCATGTGTGGATGCAGCTGCATGGGCTGCATACCCTGTTGGGTTGGGGACGAGAGGCAGGTAGTTGGGGGTAGGGGACTGTGCATGCTCCCAGCTCAGAATGCAGACAGTGACTAGGGGCACAGCAGTAAAGCCTGAACTCATTCTGGAAAGCCAGAAGTTCAAGTGATATTTTGTAAAATTCATTAACTTAAAGGCCATGATAAAACTGGGGTGACAGTGGTAGAAGGTCTTTAACATTGCCTCCAGCTTTTTTCCCACAGCAATGTTATTCCCTAATACTATTTCAGTCTCATTTATCTCCTTACATGAAAATGCCAGTAATCAAAAATATGTCAGAAGCTCATCAGACAGTAGCTTTTAATTATGATAATTGTGTTGTTATAAAATATTCTTTTAAGGAACATTCATCCTCAAAGCACCGTGGAGGTAAAGCCCTGCTTCCTTCCATGAGTTTAATGAATAATTCTGAATCATTGTGTGGGATGAATAACTGATTTAATAATGAGCACCAACAATCGTCTCCTATTGTTGCATTAATTTCTGTAAATGGGATGAGGTAAATGGGGAGAAAGGACTGTCACCATACAATGGACCACCCTGCATGTCAGAATGTGCTGTGATCCGAAAAACAAGAGCTCCAAGCTTAGGTTTCCCTAGAAACAGGTGCTTCCTGTTTCTGCTTCTGAAACATGATTTTTAAAAAAAAAAAAAAACCCTTCTTTGTGTGGTACAAAATGTTGTCAGTAACTAGGGCAAATAAACAGATACCAGGACAGGGCAGGTATACAGATGGGAAGCAGCACCTGTCATTTTTCTGTCTTTTTCTTCACTTGAGGATAATCAATTTCACCACATCCAAGGGTTGTAGAAATTGGTTTTCCCCTTAATTCACCTGACGCCTAGTTGGAGTCACAAAGACAGATAGTAGGTAATGAAATCTTGGTGGAAGCTGGACCTGGCCCCCATTCATCCCTCAGACCTTCGTTCAGCACAGGGTTAATACATAACCCAGTTATTACAGGTTGCAATTTAAAAACCCAGTCTTCAAAAACAAGTCGAGCTCTTTAAGTGTCCGTGCCTCCCTTGATATCTCGACACCTTTTCTGTTTTCCATTCTCAACCTAGAGATTAGAGCTGTGTATTAAGAGCCCCGAGCAGATTTGGCAATTATAAAAAATACTAATATGTTGATCTTTCCTATAAAAGTTAATAGGTAATTTCATAGAATTAGAGTTTCATCTCTCATATTTATGCTTTTAAAAAAATTATGAGAGAGATTGAGATCTTAGCCTATGGCATGGTTTTAGAATTTCAAAGTTTTAAAAAACATAAAGGTCAGGTTCCCAATGCTCACTTTCTAAGAAGAATAAAACATCACCTCCTCCTCTAATGGCTTACTGAGTGGTATTGGAATTGCTTATGTCCTGATTCCTCCAGGAAATGGGGTCCCAGTTTTATTCACTACCATAAGCCCAGCCCTGAGCTGAGACTGTCCCATAGCAGCCCTTCAGTAAAGAAATACTGGTAAAATGGGACCACAGTAGGCTTGATTCACATGTACTTAGTAGCATCCCAGGTAATACCCATATCACCTGTGGATTGGTGTTGGCCAGCTGATTCTAGCTGGGAAATGCGCTGCCTCTAGAGCAAGGTCCACAGACCTTCTCCTGAAAAGGATCAGGTCATAAATATTTGGGACTTTCCCACCCCGTGGCAGCTCCTTAGCTCTACGTTAGTGTGAAAGCAGCCAGAGACAGCACACACTGGGCACAGCCATATTCTAGTGATACTTCATTTACAGAAACAGATGGTGAGCCTGCTGGCTGCAGAGCTCCCACGCTGGGCTCAAGTGAGGCTTTTGCCCTCCCTGACACCTAGCGCACACTGTATTACGTCTAATTCCAGCTTGCTTCTGGCAGCCCCATTGTGGCAATGGCCTGATCACTGAGGGGGTCTGTCCACAGCACGCCTCCTCTGGTTCTCAGGGGACGGTGTGCCTGAGGCCCTCAATGCAGCTGGGGGAAGAAATGGGATGGGAAGGTCCATCGGGACTCCTGAAATGTCTTAAGACTTGGATGTTTATTGAGAAAACATAACTAACTCACCAATCTAAAGATAAGCATTAAGTATCGTTGGGATGCAGCTAAGGGAAGACTTAGGAAGGTGGTACAGTGAACTGGTGTTTGGGCAGGTGGAGGGGTGTAACACAGCAGGTAAGCTCCCAAGCCTTGGCTCTGTGCAGACCTGCATCCTGTACTGTGGTGTGCTCTCCTAGCTGAATGGCTGAACATCTTTCTGTTTTACTCTTCTTCTGGTAAAATGAAGTA